TATACACACATATATATATATATATATATATATATATATATATATATATATATATATACGTGAGCAAGTAAATAAGAGTAGGTAAGCTTTGCGCAGTCTCGAAACATGGCGTTTTTTACCGAGTTCGAGGATGCTCGAGATCTCTAGATTCCTCGTTCCTCCGTTATTTTCAATTTTCGAACTATAAATCGTTCCGCTAATCGACAACTACGTTTCATGAAATTATCCGACGATTACTACGATTTTTGTCGCGTACGATCTAAAATAGCGTTACGAAAGATGTGATCGCGCGGTGATGGGAAAAGATATCCTACTACCCACCACTCGACGATCGTTAGAGGAAGAAAAAAAAAAAAGAATCGACTGCGCAATTTCTTTTTTCTTTTTTTTTTTTTCTCTATTTTTTTTTTCTTTTTTTTTCATTTTGGTACAAAAATAGATAGATCTCGAACGTAGATTACGTAGTCTCGTGTCAGAATATTTGGGATATGTCAAAAAAAAAAGAAAAAAAAGAAATTGATTGGTTGAAACTGGAGAAGGAATTTTTATTTTCCGAGATCGATATATTGTTCTATACAAACAGAACGCAATTCACCATTAATTTTGAATTTTTCGATAAGTTAAAATCATCGAAATTGATTGGAATCGTCACTTTGTCACGCGAATCGTTGGTTGGAAAAGAAAAAAAAAAAGGTCATCTTGACGAAGAGGAATCGTAACACGTGACGAGGTGCATGTGATTCTGGAATTGGATCGAATCGGATAAGAGAAGAGCGGTGGGATATCGACGAGATTACGTAAATTTGTGGAAATAGAAGAATATGATTGAATCACCCGTTGAATAAAGGGGGCGAGAATTACGTTACGACGAATCGCTTGTTTATTGGAACACGTAATTAATACGCTCGATTGTTTCCTTTTCCTTTTTTCTCTTCTTCTTTCGAAATTCACGAACTCGTATCCTTTGTCCGTCGACGGACGATCATCAGAGGACAAAGGAGTCAAAGGTTTTTTAAAATGGAAGATCGTTACGAGCGAGAGATAACAAAGATCCCAAATGGAAGGGTACAAGTCCGTGTGCACGCGCGTATGTGTAACATGTGCAACGCTTTGTTCTCGAAGAGTGAAAAATTCATCGAGGATGGTTGCTAACGTATAGAATTAATGTTCCAAGCGAAACGCACTCGTAAACTCGAACGTTTCGATTGTCAAATAGTTCCACTGTCACTCGTCGAGTCGCGTGAAACGTGTATGTATGTGTGTGTGTGTGTGTATGTATATATATATTAGAAAAAAGGAACGCTCGTAAAAATTAACGAGCCAGTCAACTTGTATACATGTGTGTGTGTCTATGTGTATATGTATGTATGTATGTATGTATGTATGTATGCATGTATGTATGTATGTATATATATATATTTATATTTTTATATATATATCTACGACAATTACTCTTAATTAATCGACAAGTAATAATTAAACTATCGAGCGTCGGCGTGACAACCGACCGAAAAAAAGAGAGATCGAGGAGGAAAAAATTTTTCGCAACTTCGCGAGATCGATCGAACGTTTCGTTCGTCGTTTTCATCGTTTTCGTCCTCGATGACGCGAGCCGAAACGAGCTCGATAGAAAAGGCGTATATCACTGGAGCGAGGATTTCAGGCACGAGAAGAGCTTCATCGAGGAATACCGAAGCATCGCCCTTTCGTCGTTTCGAGCGAACAACTCGAAATCAACTCGAACGAATCGAAAAAAGCGAGGAAAATACGAGGTATGTGCCGGTGATGAAATAACCGTTCCACTATCATTTCACCGCCAATACTCGCCTCGTTCGATCGATAACAACGAGTTCCGAACGAGACAAGTATCAAGTGGACATAGATTAACAAACAAGACAAGAATAACTCGATTCGATCGTATCGTCGATCATCCTAACCCCGTCCTAATCATCTGTACATGTTTTTTTTCTTTTTTTTTTTTCTTCTCTTTTTTCGCAAACAACAACGTCGATTGTTGCGGTTCGTCCTCGCGTGGTATAAAATTACTTACGATCGTTATAATCTCACTACCACCGTCAAGCTCACCGAGCACGTTCTTGGAAGTGAATAAATGGCATTCAGAAGAAAACGCGCTTCGAGTTCGTGCTTCGATAACCAATTAATTTAGCGGAGAGCAAATATACGATACATAAATATATATATATATATATATATATCGTATCGTATAATTTTTCTCCGTATATAGGCACACGTTATACATACGTATAAGCGTTATACCTGTGTGGAAACGTGTGGACTAGAAATCGAATGGTTTGTTACCGTTCGTTAAAATTTTTTTCATCCGCAAAAAAAAAAAAAAAAAGAAAAAGTTAATTCGCTTAATCATTTTAACTAGCTCAAAAAGATTACACAAGAGAGAATCGTTTGATTAAACGAAATTAATTCGCGGATTGAAATTTAATAAATTATAACACGTATAACAATTCGCGATTATTTCTATAAGTTATAAGAAGATATATCTATAATAATAATAATAATAATAATAACAACAATAATAATAATAATTAATCATAATAACAATAGGAATATAATTCATTTGTTCAGTATGTATAATTTACACAGTCGCGTGTACGTGTATGTGTGTATGTACGTGTACGTGTATATACGTGTCCCGGAAAAATAATCGAGGAAAACGTATCGAGGGGGGAGGGAAGGGGAGGAGGAGGAGGAGGAAGAAGAACGAGAAGGGCAATATTTTCCGATAAAAACGCTGAAGGAAGCACGATGTTTTCCATTCAACGATTTGCGATTTTTTTTTTTTTTTCTTCGTATCACCCGATCTCCTACCTTTCGATTTTCATCATCCCGTTTCGTTTCATCGGGCGAGTTATTCAACGCGATACGAGGGACCCGATCATCTCTGAGATTATTAAAGATTACAAAGTGAAAAGTTTTTTTCTTCTTTTTTTTTTGGAAAAAGTCGCCTTTGGCAACCACGGGATAACCTAACCATGTTGCCAAGTTTCGAAGAAGTGGAGAAAGTGGATCGATATCGGGGATTCGGAAGGAAGAAGGAAGAAGTGAGAAGAGAGACAGAGACAGATAGATAGATAGAGAGAAAGAGGGATATAGGGAAATGACGGTGAAAGCCCCTGAGTAGTGAAGATGAACGAGAACGTCTTTGGAGAGGGAGAGATGGAAGGAGGAGAGAAACGTATGAGATTAAAACTAGCCATTAGACTTAGGATATTCCATCGATTTAAACGTGTTGCACGAATTCCGGATTGAGAAACGAGAAACCCATAAACTCCGTCTGATCCAGATTCATCATGAACAACTTGTCCGTGGGAGTCAGATCCGTCTTCTCCGAGGTGAACTGTTTGTCGAAGTTGCTCACGTCCTTGCGATGTTTCTACGGAAACAAACGTTCAACTTCTCCTCTCTTTCTCTCCTTCTTTCTTTGCCATCATCTTCTGACATATAGATACTCACGATTTTCGGTTTGAACGGTGGCTGCACCTCCCGATTCTCTATCTTCTCCCAATCGATACGTCGGAAAAACGCGTGGCTCCGTACGTCCTCCTCCCCTCGCAGCCCGCAACCGAGCCTCTTCACCGGATTCTTCGTGAGGAACTGAACGAAAACGAGGAATTGAAACCCTTTCCAGCGATTTATGATAATACTCGAATTTGTAATACAACAATTGTTAACTAGACAACATGCATTTTTATAATAATTTTCTTTACAGTTATACCCCGATTTTTAATCGGAGGATTTGAAAATTGATTAATATAGCTTTTACCACGAATAAATAATATTAGATTTTGATTATCGATCTCCTTCGTTGTTGTTATTATTATTATATACAGGAACGCAGATCTTCTTTATCTCCAATCGATAAGAGCGATTCCCTTTATTAGAAAGTGTCTTAACAATCTTAATATATATATATATATAATAATTGTTATATACAATTTCGAATAAAGGGAGAAAAATGTTATTGAATCATTTCACGCACTCATGAGACGAGACAAAAAAAGATCTGTTAAAGGATGAAAGAGCAAAGATGAAATTTGTATTCACCGCTTTACAAATTTCCCTCGCCTCCTTCGACAAACTCTTCGGATAGCTGACGTTATGCTCGGTTATTGCGGCGAACAATTCCTCTTCGTCCTCGCCGTCGAACGGTGGCTGACCGACCAACATCTCGTACAACAGCACGCCGTACGCCCACCAGTCGACCGACTTTCCGTACGGTTGATACAATATGATCTGTAGGGAGGAGAAAGAGAGAGAGACTCGATCGGTAACGAGTGATCGGTAAGGTAGGGTAGAAAAACAAGAAATTCGAATTCGGGATGGGGGGAAGAAATTTTTCACTAACTTCCGGCGCGATGTAATCGGGCGTCCCGCAAAACGTTTTCGTCGTCTTGTCCCCGCTGATCCCTTCCTTGCACATACCGAAATCGGCGATCTTGATGTGACCGTCCTGATCCAGCAGAACGTTGTCCAACTTCAGATCCCGGTACACGATACCTCGGCCGTGGAGGAAGAAAAGGCCGATCGCTATCTCGGACGCGTAGAATCTGGAGAGACGACAAAGGATGTTTTGTTTTTTTTTTATCGAAGCACTGGTTGTATAGGTGGCTCGTTTGGATCACTCACACAGCGACAGGCTCTTTGAACTTGCCACACTGTTGTATCTGATACATCAAATCCCCGCCGTTCACGTACTCCATCACGAAGTAGAGACGATCCATGGTTTGGAAGCAGGAGTGTAGTTGGACAAGGAATGGCGGCTTGGTGGACAACGCCAAAACACGTTTCTCGACCATGGTGCATTCCACGTCGTCGTCCTGGATGATGATATCCTTCTTCAAGATCTTGATCGCGTACAGCTCGTCGGTACCTTTCCTCTCGGCCAGCATCACCTTTTGGGGCGGTAAGACGTAAGTGAGAATAATGGAAGAGGGGGGGAAGGAAGGGGTCAACCGACTTTTCCAAAACTGCCTTTGCCGAGCACCATCAGGAAGTTGAAATCGCTCGCCCTTATCAAGTCGCTCTTGCCCATGTTGTGGGGCACCTCCTTGTCCTGGGTGGTGGTAGTCTTCTTCGTCACCGAGGTTTTCTGCGAAAATGAGACGAGGCGACCTTATATTTTCATCTTTATTGATTTTTTTTTTTTTCCTATTTTATTTCACGTTGTACGTTACACGTTTTCATTATTTCTCTATATAAACGCAAAGTTGTTGATATACTTTTATATATTTAGTTATGTGTTATTTAAACAATTGATAAAAAATAGAGAAAAAATAATTTTGTTTCTTTATTATTAAACTCATCTTCACTCGAACTAATCATTCCAAAACTCAAAAACATCATCGCGATATAATTTGAGGTAAGAAAATCTAAAAATCTATTATATTATTCTACGTTTCCTAAGAGGATAATAGGAAAGAGCTATTCGAATCCAAAAAATGATGGCCGAGAGCCATCTTGACCATCATCGCGTCGAGCGCAATCGGTTAAATAAATAAACGTACTCGCATCTTCATCTTCAATTCGGCCAGATCGACACCCTCCTCCGGAACAGGTACGTTGTAATATTCCCCCTCCTCTTGGGTGAGCAGTTTGAACCAGCCGTTGGCGGGCGCTTTGATAAGCTCCGATATCCCGAAGGAGAGAGAGCCCATGAAATCGTTCCTCGACGTTCGATCCCAATCCCAAACCTCGATCAAAAGTCGCCTGTCCTTGTCCTCGGGTTTCAAGTCGCTGGAAAAAAAGAAGAATAAATTTTTCTTCTCGTCCAATTGTTTGTTGTTTTTTTCTTCTTTCTTTCTTTCTTTCTTGTGTGTGTGTGTGTGTGTGTGTGTGTTCGTGTTCGCGCGCGCGCGTGTTCGTGTGTGTGTGTGTGTGTGTGTGTGTGTGTGTGTGTGTGTGTGTGTGTGTG